TTTTCTCCCCTGCCTTTTCTTGAAATTATCAGTGTTTTCAAAATTTCCAAAACTATGGTTTTGTGCAGTGAGTGGATCCCATTTTTCATGTAGGTATGAAATAATGCGATTTAAGCATGCGCAAGTGAAGAACTTCCTCATGTTTCTCCATGAGGGTCCAGTCAAGCTTAAGATCTACCTGTTTCCCCCCAAGATAAGCACTTGGCCTTATTTTCGGGGAGGTCTTATTATTTTTGAGGTGCAAGAGGCGGCGAGCGTGGTCACCTCGTGGCTACTGCTGTGTTGCAATATTTTCAGGGAGGGCTTATTTTAGCGCATGTGCTCAAAAGCCCCAATTGGGCTTATTATCCGGGGAGGTCATGCTTTCGACTACACGACACAATATTTTCCAGAAATCTCCGAAGGCATAGCCAAGTGAAAAATCAAGTTACTTTTTGGCTTGACTCATAGGTGAGCTGGGTTAATGGGACGTCAGCTCAACCCCAAATCCAGATTGTAGAAAATTGGGGCTCCGATACCCCAGACCTCCTGTTCATAAACAACACGCCTAACTGGGACATCCCTATGTGAGAAGGTTGGGTGGTGGAATTCCATCACCACGTTAGTTGGAGAAGATTTGTTCTACAAGTCAGATTTGCCTAGTGAAGTGTGCGTTCTTACTAGTATTACACAATCTACATACTCATTTGCACTGGCATTTTAAGTGCCTTGGGAGCGAGGGAGCACTGATGTTACAACCTCTAGTATTTAAGTAACTGAAAAGAAGAAGCTAGACAACAAGGTGTTGAATCTTACGCAAGGTCCCTCAGAGTTTAGACAACAAGAACGTCTCTGTTCAATCACCCCCGTTTATTTTGAGCAGTTCGAAGAAACAAGAAAGGCCCCCAAAGCAGGGGATAAATATGAAGTGAGCGAGAGAAGAGTCCAATAAATAAAAACAGATCAGGGCACAGTGGATCTTCAGCTTTCCGAAAGATCAGGAAACAAACCGAGATCGTCGCAATTCTTCCTCGGGTCTAGAACCGGTAAATGCTGGAGCTGTAGGGAGTGCTTGGCAGCGCTCGGGAGTAGAAGCTGGAAGCCCGGTGTGCTTGTGGTGCGCTGCGCTGGTTAATGATGGCGCACGGATTGCATTGCTCGATGCACAGAGGCTGGTCAGGGCAGCAGATGGAAGGACCCGGGATGGTGAGGATGAAAGGAGGTGGCTGGATTGTCACCATGGAAGGAGGACACGAGAAGGTACAGTGGTCTGGCATGTTGGAGGCAGCAGACATGTTGCAGTTCGGACGACGGATCTGTGGACGAAGAGAAAAACCCTCGTGTGTAATGTGCAATGCCCAGCGAGACTCAGATCTTTTAAGATGCACACTGCACATTCCAAATACGTGGAATTGAGTGATAATTCGCTTTGTTTTCAGAGTTTGGGAAACGCACCGTAGGGTGCACTTCTAAACGGGTTGGGTTCCATTTAATGTATGTCTTCATGTTGGAATTCTTGATTGCTTCCACCTTTAGAGGACTTTAGAAAGAATAGCAACAAACGACGCTAAGGCAAACAATAGGAACAAGAACATCCAAGGGTTGTGTAGATTATGAATCATCCCGAGAGCCCAAGTTTATACAAGCTCAAAAGTGGGAAACACCCTTAGTTCCAAAGAAACACCTTCACAAGACGTTACGTCTCCCGCCGCCTTTCTCAGTAGGTGACAACCTTCAAGAGGCACTTGGGTTCTTCAGGCGTGGTAGATAGAACCCACCTGAGATAGGTCATCTTGTAGGTACCCAATCCCTGAGCCACATCGGGCTTTAGCGGCGAGGACCCTAACTCAACCACATCCACCACTAAAACTCAACCAAGTTTAATCCTAATTATGTGGCAATGCAGCTGCTTGGACAGAGCCTAGAAAGACTTAGTTGGACCTGATGGAAAAAAAACTAGGTTTCTCAACACCAGAGATTGAAGTGGTGGCCCAGGAATGACTTCATGTTTTGGAAGGAAACATGAAGTGGCTGTGGACAGTTTTGTTCTAGAGATGTTATGATGGGCCTTGGGATTTTAGATTTGCCCAGTCTAGAGACATTTTTAGGGAATAATGTTCTGCACTCATCTAATCCTTGAGTCCCTTATTCTATGTTTTAACTCTTTCTTGTGGAGAAGAAACGCCAGATCATTAAACCTCTGGTGCTGATTTCCCTACGTTTAAAGCCAAAATCTAATTCAAGAAGCTCTTGGAAGCTACNTAATGTGTGTGTGAGAAAATGTGATTTTCGCAAAATGAGAACCACATCAAGTAGCATCCAAACCGATCTGGACTGCAGAGCTCCAGTTGACTGCTAGAGGGCCATAAGAAAGAGAGAGATGAAAAATGTTTTGCTTCCCTCTAGTGGTCATTATTTTCCAGCCTAAATGCAGAAGCTCTACAACAAAATTCAAAGCTGGATCTCTTATTTTTTAAATGAAGAAATCAAACTCAAGGCATTGGTTAAAAGGAAATCCTGTGGAGGAAATATTAGATCTTGCTGGAAAGAAAATGGTAGTTCCGAGATGAGAAGAATTGAACTTGATATGAATGTCTTTATACGTTCCACCAATCCAGATTGTCTCAATTTTGCAAATACCAGCTGACACCACATGAGGGCGCACTCTCACAAACGTACCAGGTTGCATAGAAATTTGCAGCCGGAGAGTGTATGCTGTAATTAAGACCCAGGAAGATGCATTTGATTTATTTAGATAAATCTTCAATTTCCTTCTTAGATAATTGTGTTCTGAGTGTCTTTCTCAGATGCCCCTATTTGCCTTTTAAAGAAACATAAGAGGTAGGATCTCTCAGTGATAAAATTCTCCATGGAATTGGCGCGAATTCGGTTTATGGGCAAAAGTAGTCCCACTTTCCAATTTTATAATCTCAGAGGCAACACAAGTGAGGTTGCGGATAGTAAAAGGGGGGGAAAAAAAGAAACAAATTGGGCACCAGTTTTACAAGCTGCAACTCTTATCGCAACTCGTTGCGATGACCGCATTTTGGAGAGGTTGATTTGAAGGCGAGATATTGAAGGGGAAAAAAAAGGAGAAATTTTAGGAAAAGTGCCAACGTGTTTTTGTTTCCCTTATCTTTGCTTGTGTATCAGTCTAACCACTAAACCACCCTGCCTTTTGGACAGGAGGAAAATACATCTCGCCCTCCCTGTTTTAAATATATTTGATGTGCCTTCCAGGGGTGTGTGAACTACCACAATAATGTGAGATGTGTGCTATTTGTATATTTAAAATCGTGGCCCTATATTTAGGCATTTCAGAACTCTGTTAAAAAACTGATGTAATGTAATGGAGGGAAGCAAACAATTAAACAAGTTATTTAGATTAAAAACTAGACACGAGCCCAAACCACATTTTATTCCTCGCTTCCATTCTCCGGAATGAAATTAATTAGTAAACGGTTTTGGAGAGGAACTTTAAAATAATCTACACTACAGGGCCCATAGGTGGTTAGAGCAATGTTTTTTACTTTAAAGGCATGTGGACTTCAACTCCCAGAATTCCTCACCAGCTACTGATATTGAAATGCAACATTTAAGCCAGCAAAGGTACATTGCGGGGGTATTTTCTCCCCTGCC